TGGATCTGAAGCAAGGGTTTTTATTAAACAAGAAAAATAAGACAGTATAACGGACAAGCAATTGGTTTTCTTGAATGGTTGAGGATAGTGAGCCCCCCCCCCCCTTAATTGAATTGTAGCTGTAGAATTGAGCACTATAGTTATCCATTTTCAGTTTTCATTAGCCGCCTGGCAAGCCGATTCCGGTGAGGCTCACCGTTAGTTTGATCGGTGATCTAGACGTCTAACACACACACGTGCATATATCCATTCAAGTGGTCACGGTGAAAGAGGAGCCAACCACCCACATCAGTCCAGCTGTTGATATTCTTGTAGCTAATTAAACCTTCTCGGTGTGTGTCTGAAGCAGATGAGCAGCCTACTGAACCGTCTACGAGTTAATGAAGTGTGTGTGCGCGTGTGTGTGTCAGTGTGTGTATATGAAGGATGAGTCCAGCTCACTAAACAGTGTTCACACATACCAATTTTAACTTCTTATTCCATTTAAAAAATGTGACAGACCTCACAAACAATAAATAACTCGACAATCGCAAGTTTACTGCCTGTCCAAGTACCAATTAGGAATAGCGCCAGGCAATCTGGGCATCCACATAAATAAAAAACCAGTGGAAGAGCTAGAAGAAGCTAGGCTAACTGTTAGCTTATTTGGTCATTTGCATTTACCCTGCCTAAAAGGTGCTAGCAAGATTTGAATGTAGCCTCATTCCAATATGCTTTAATATTCCTCTGCCAAAGCTGAACTGCTGCTAGCGTACCATATTTATGTTTGGTCATCCACTTTTCCTATGTTCACTCGTCCTTTACGCTACCGGTAAAAGTCCATCTTTTTCACCGCCACTTCCACTGACGTAGAATGGTGGGGATAAAGCTGTCATATCAATTTTCCACATTCAGAGGTAGTAACAAGGGCGGAACGGTGAATGTGTCAGGGAATGAAAGAGCCAATCTCTGTGTGAAGTCAAGTCAATCTTATTTGTGCAGCCCTGAATCACCAATGAGCCTCAACGGGATTCACAAGCCCACCGTTGTCAAATATTAGTGACATCTCCTGATCTCAACTCTTCATAGTTAGCAGGCTACACTTAATGGTTGACGATGGACGGCCAATCGCCGGGTTGCAACAAATTCCTGTAGCTGCATCTTTAACTGGATTCTCAAAACTGCTCCACCTCCACTAGCATCAACTACTAAAATGGTCTTTTAAAAGGACTCCCCAAATTTAACTTTCTAGTTGTAATCACGTCGAGGAGAGGTGAGCACATTACTCACTGGTGTCTTTTTACTTGCTAAACTAATTAGTCACGTCATGGATTTTTAAAGTGCTGGTAGTCTGCGTGTCATTAAATGGTCCAGGCTCACAACACTGTGCTGATAAAGAAGTGCTTGATGTAGTGAATCAGGTCTGCTAATAGAGTCCGACCTCAACATGGTGGAGCAGCAGTTTGTGCTTGAAGAGCCTGCAATATCAGAGCAAATAACTTGTAGACAATTTGAAATCTGCATTCTCACTTGTCAAATGTTTTCAATTATTATTTGATAGTTTTATTTCAGATTAATTTACATTTAATTTGGACTTTCATATGACATTTTAATTGCACATTCGTGGCTTGAAAATGGCAGGCCTTCGACCAGCCTGCCTGCCAAGTCATGGGTGGAGAAACTCAGTGTTGGGGTGTTTACGTAAATTAGATGAATTGTCCATCCATCCATCCATTTTCCGAACCGCTTAATCCTCACTAGGGTCGGGGGGGATGCTGGAGCCTATCCCAGCCGTCATCGGGCAGTAGGCGGGGGACACCCTGAACCGGTTGCCAGCCAAACGCAGGGCACACAGAGACGAACAACCATGCGCGCTCACACACAGACCTAGGGAAAATTTAGTGTGTTCAATCAGCCTGCCATGCATGTTTTTGGAACGTGGGAGGAAACCAGAGCACCCGGAGAAAACCCACGCAGGCCCGGGGAGAACATGCAAACTCCACACAGGGAGGCCGGAGCTGGAATTGAACCCGGTACCTCTGCACTGTGAAGTCGACGTGCTAACCACTGGACTACCGGGCCGCCCTAGATGAATTGTGATGCCACAAAATCCAGAAGGGTAACGACATATTTTATTGGTTGTTTGATTTCACACTTGACGGGTAGGTCAACCAATTGTATACAAGCCATTCAAAGTCAACATTCCTTTAATGTATGTAAAACACATTGAATCGGACTGTGTGTGTGTGTGTGTGTGCGCGTGTGCGTGTGCGTGTGTGTGTGTGTGTGTGTGTGTGTGTATAAATAAAGCACCATTGGGCCTCAGAGCTACAGTTAAGCTCTTATAATTCAAGATAGCTCCACATGAACACCTCAACCGTGTGTGTGTGTGTGTGTGTGTGTGTGTGTATGTGTGTGTGACCGTCTCTGCGCTGTGCTGCAAATCAATAACGAACGCAGTGAGTACACACAGAAAACAGCAGGACCATCAATAAGATGATTTATTGCAGCGAGGGTAATGATTTTGGAGGCGCACATTGGTACATTACACTCACAAGATATTCACCTGCCGCACTTTTCTGATAGCCGATAGGACCGACACTGCTGAAGATGTCATGGATATTGTTGCCTGAGCCCAAAATAGAGCAACAGAATGCAATGACGGGCGGCCACCATTAAACGTCCTGTTCTATCACTCTGAGGGCATTTTAATGCACCAGTGAAGTGCATCAGCCTGACACACACACACACACACACACACACACACACACACACACGTCCATACAGTACACGAGTGTGACAGCTGTATGTGTGCACCGTGACGGTGGTGAAATGACTTTCCACATTGCAGCCTTGCAGGTTTGGAAGCGCGTGTGAGTAAATATTTAGTTCTGGTCGCGTCTCCCCCCCGTGACTAATTGGCCCTGGGCGCCTGATGGAAAGAGGTGGAAACGTTCTAGACGGCTACTTAAAAAAAGATTTTCAACGCATCACACCCATGGTTTTGCCCAGCAGGCTGATTCAGGCTGGCAGAGGAGAGTGAGGAGCACTGAACACATTCATGAGCTTGCATCCTTATTAATGTCATTCTGGCAAACTAATCTACATTGTCATCCGGCATAGGCCAATGTTATCAAATACGCAAAAAGACGAGCATAATGAGCATGATAGCAAGATTAAAAACGGGTGTAGAATTGAGACAATTCGTAATCACCAGAATTTTGTGCTTTGTAGCAGCACATTTTAGCAAGCCTGGTGAAACAGGTTACCAAGATGTTGGGGGTACCAAAATTGAAGATCAGTGGAGAATTGCAAATGGCTGAAGACTAACAAGCTGAGTACAAACTGCAATGATGATTGGAAGTTTGCATTTACTTCCAGTTCACACATTTTATCACGCGAAGCTAAATAGGCCACCACAATAACAACATTAAAAGTGTAAAATTGCAACCAAGAGAACACAATCAACATTTGGAATAAACCGCATTCTGTGTTTTATACCAGGTAGCAATTTTCAGCATGAAAAAGCTCAGCTTCACAGACTACCAACGATGAAAAGTATACCAAGATTGAAGACCAAGAAAGAATTGCGACCTAAGGAGAGACAACCATTCAGGGTCAATTTCTGTTTTTATTTCGTACCAATGACCACATTTTGGATGCTGGAAAGCTAAGCTAAACAAGCTACGATGAAATATCTGATTCCAAGATTGAAGATTAGTGGAGAATTGCAACTTGGAAAACTCTAAAAAGCATGTATACAATATGTAGTAATACAAAGAATCAACTGTACTGGGTGTTTTATAATAGTTAGCAACTTTCAGCATGCTAGCAAGCTAGGATGAACATGCTACCACAATGAAAAGGGAATAAAGATTAAAGATCAGTAGAGACATACAACAGAGTGAAGACTAATGAGCTACGTTTAGTGAATGCTGTTCTGAAACAGTGAGAGTCCATATTGAATACCAATTAGCAAATTTTAACATTCTCACGAAATGAGCAACCGGTAAATCGGCGCCCATGATAAGCAGGATACCGAGATTGAAAACCAGTGGAGAATTTTGACTGGCGTAGCGCAAAAAAAAAAAAAAAAAAATTATACGAGCCATCTCAATAATCATAAGAAACAGTAACTTATATTTAGCGCCAATCAACACATTTTAAGCAATCTAGCCAGGGAGGCTCACAATAACATGTTCCCATCCTTCAGTGCGTACATAGCTCACTTTTTCTTAAAATAAATGTGAAAAAAATGAATCATCTACCTTTGAGCCCAGAATTTTAAGAGCAACACAACTAATGACATGTATTTATTCATATTTCTCATGCTCCTCCATAGAATCAGTTGTTTTTATTATGCCTGCGGAGCATTTATATCCTCCTACTCCAGAAAAGGGGGCTCTGAAAATGAACATAAAATGTTTGAACATCATGGAAAATAGAAAAAAAAACTCTAAAGTGACACATGGAATTCTTCTGGACCTGATGTTTTCTTGGCGCGCTGGCCTCCCAGCGGGGGTGTGCGAGCTGAAAGATATGTTCCAACTTTTTGCTTGGATTTTCACACACTGAAGCGCAGTCACGCACAAACGCTAAAGTGGGTTCCGGCCATACCGATAATCCAAGAAAGCAAAGGCCCGATTCTCAAATGTCTCCAAAAGATTATGCTGCGCTTCCGAGTGTTTAACTCG